AGAGCACACCTCGCTTTTTCAGACCGATGAGCTTTGTAAAAATCGTTGCGTTTCAGAAAGGCGGGGCATAGACGAGAAACAATAATGTACAGTATGTGGAAAATAATGTGTTTTTTTAACCTTAAACCGCATAAACACATTTCATTACACCAAATACACAAAATAATGTTCTTTTTAGCAACATCATATGACCCCTTTAAGTAGCAAATCATACCCCATATTCTGTGCAAGTACACAAATGTTCATAATACACACAATATACATACATAAATGGTAATATGGTAGTGTGCTAGCCTTTGAGTGTAGTAACCAGTGATGGAGCTCCTTCTCAGTAAGCAGCATTTTACATTTCATGCTAAATCGGCTCATTTGAAGGACAAATGTCCCACTTTAGAGTATGTATCACCATGTATGTGTGTAAGCTTGGTGGATTGTTATCAGTAAGCCAGTCTTCATCCCCTGTCCTGGCCACATCCTCTTTCCTGTGCTGAAAGCTTATTAAAGACTGCTGTAGAGCTGCTTAACCCTCTGGGGAGGAACAGTGGGGGCAACACTGGAACCACTATATTCAACTATACGTCCTTATATATACACTACTGTTCAAAATTTGGGGGTTTGTAAGAATTCGCTTAGACAGACCAAGGCTGTGTGTATTATTAATATTTTACCATGAAGTGTATTCCTGTGATGGCAAAGTTGAGTTTTCAGCAAATTTGTTCCATGAAATTATGAGTTCCACATTTCAGAGAGGTTTTGATCTCTTTAAATCCATTAAAGCAAAAACTGTTTTTAGTATATACAAGGTAACAGAGACTGATGTGATTTCAGTGAAATCCATCAGATAGAAGGGACATTTTAATATGTGCCATTCCCAAAAAATCACTTCCAGCAGCTTTAAATACATTGTTAATGGGCACAGTGCTGATGGTTTCTGGGGTTTGATCATGCCTCCTATAACTTACTGAAAGAGTCCTTTTAACACTTAACTATCTGAAATGATGAAGAATTAGCAAAATAGGTCTTTTTTTAAGGATTTTCTTTTTCTCTCTTCTTGTAGGCCAAATATGTTATACTTGCCATACCACCAGGCCTGAACTTGAAAATCCATTTCAACCCTGAACTACCGCCTCTAAGGAACCAGCTCATTCACAGAGTCCCCATGGGCTCAGTTATTAAATGCATGGTGTACTACAAAGAGAACTTCTGGAGGAAGAAGGGTCTGTACCACTTGTCCACTTTCCATTACATAAATCACTTGAAAGCCAGTTTCAAAAGAATCTTGGGACTGAAGTGACATTGACTGCACACAGTGTTGTTATTGTTAACTAAAATGATTAAACATTGGTTTTGTTATTTGAAATAAATCTGAAATAAGCTAAATAAATAATAAATAAATGAAAGTTACAAAAGCACATAAAATGATTCAAACAACTAAAAAAATAAAACGAAAACTGAAGATATAGAAATAAAAGCTAATTCAAAATATTATTAAAAACTATGTATGTAAACAATGCTAACACTGGCTATACAGTGTGTATGCCAACCCGGGCTGTTTGGTGTTTTGCAGGATACTGTGGCAGCATGGTGATTGAGGAGGATGAAGCACCTATTGGTCTCACCCTTGATGACACTAAGCCTGATGGGTCTGTGCCTGCTATAATGGGGTAAATAAAGCGAACAGCTTTCTATCGTAGGATGAACATAAACTACAAAAAAAAATATTGAGATGTTTGAGGTGACAGAAAAGTAAGCTGGCTCCTTCTCTTTACAGTTTCATCCTGGCACGAAAATCCAGGAAATTAGCCGGCCTGACGAAAGAGGAGAGGTAGATATTTCTTTGTTTTCATATTGGTAAATTGTCACTGCACCTGTGCACACTTTGTGCTGAAATGATTATTCTTACCAGAATGTTGTCAATCATTTCAGAAAGAGAAGGATCTGTGAGATTTATGCTCGTGTGCTTGGCACAGAAGAAGCGTTAAATGTGAGTCTCCATGACCAGTCACAAATCTCTGTCATCCTTTAGTCTTATCATTTTTAATAACGTTTCACGCTTCGTTTTTGTGGTGGTGTCTTCTTTAGCCTGTGCACTACGAGGAGAAAAATTGGTGTGAGGAGGAGTACTCTGGTGGCTGCTACACTGCCTACTTCCCCCCTGGTATCATGACACAGTATGGCAGGTTAGTGCACCTCCGGATGGTTCAACATTTTGCTAGCCTGCTGATGGTAAACTAGAGCATGAATTGACACGAGAAGTGACCGTTTCTCTCTGTTTCAGGGTTCTGAGGGAGCCGTTGGGCAGGCTGTACTTCGCAGGAACTGAAACGGCCATAGAGTGGAGTGGTTACATGGAGGGGGCCGTGCAAGCTGGAGAGAGAGCCAGTAGAGAGGTGCGTAGAGGGTTTAGCTACTAAGATCCAAGATATTTAGAAAAAATTGTTCTGCCCAAACTTCCTGTTTCAATAGGAAATATATCAATGCAGGAAACAAAAAGCTCTAGTCAAGTTTGAAAATCTGTCATTGACTTTCATTATTAGCATGTTCAATATGAATCCATCTATTTAACAACGTTTCGCAATCTATTTAGTTCTACTTCATTTTGTGCATATATTCATGCTTAATTTTTTATTTTCAACACATCTATCAGTACTTGGATTCTTATGCGTGGTTGTGTTGGATTGGTTTATTAGCACAAGGTTCTGTTGTATCTGTATTAGCTTGTCCTAATTTAGCTCTTGTTTGTACAAAGGTTTGGGGGTCAGTAAATAAAAGTATCTAAGGTGCATTTATTTGGTAAAATAGTAATATTGTGAAATACAGTTTAAAATAAGGATGTTAATATATTTTAAAATGTTATTTATTCCTGTGATGGCAAAGCTGAATTTTCAGCGTCATTACTCCAGGCTTCAGTGTCACATGATCCTTCAGAAATCACTCTAATATGCTGATTTGCTGCTAAATAAAGATTGCTTGTTATTATCCATGTAGAAAACAGTTTGACATTGATATTTGTATTTTTTTTTTTTTTTTTTATTTTTTTGATTTTAAAATGTTATTTATTCCTGTGATGGCAAAGCTGAATTTTCAGCGTCATTACTCCAGGCTTCAGTGTCACATGATCCTTCAGAAATCACTCTAATATGCTGATTTGCTGCTAAATAAAGATTGCTTGTTATTATCCATGTAGAAAACAGTTTGACATTGATATTTGTTTTTTTTTTTTTTTTTTTATATTATTGATAATTTATGGTATTTTATTTTGAAAACTGTTGGATATTTGTGTAGAAACCGTGATATATTTTTTCAGGAATATTTGATGAATAGAAAGTAAAAAAGAAAAACATTTATTTGAAATAGAAATCTTTTTTTTTTTTTACTATAAATGTCTTTACTGTCACTTTTGATCAGTTTAATGTATAATTGTATTAAATAAAGACTACATTAAATTATTAATACTACAAAAATAATTAAGACCACAAAAAGACAACAAAAATCTTACTGACCCCAGACATTAGTACAGTAGTGTGTGTACAAGAAGCTCTTCTAAACTAACACAAACAGCACTTGCTTGCCATCTGTTAACGGTCTTGGATGTAAAACTAAAGCACTTTTTGTCATTTGCTCTAAATGCCTTACATGTAAATGTTAATTGAAGTTTATGTCTGATTTTAAATATTGCCATCTGTTACTTAAAGGAAAAACTCAAAATACTGTATGCTTTTCTTTTCCAGATTTTGTGTGCAATGGGAAAACTCCATGCGAGTCAGATCTGGCAATCAGAGCCTGAATCATTGGTAAAAATTGCACTTTTGAATGCACTTAAGAAACATGTTTTCACTAAATCCATAAATATTAAAAACCTTCCGTTTTGGATCTTGAACAAATTCTACTCTGAACACTTTTCCTCAGGATGTCCCAGCCCGGCCATTTTTCACCACATTCTGGGAAAGAAACTTGCCATCGGTTGGGGGACTCTTTAAATTCATGGGCGTGTCCTCCTTCCTGGCTCTGGCCACAGCAGCAGGAGTGGTCGCCTACAAGAAGGGGCTCCTCCCACTTTCACAACCTGTTCTATGAGCTGGCCTTGTGATTGTGGTGTTTAATCACCTAATCACGGTCATAACGCTGCCTGGGTATGTGGCCGAGTTAGATGAGATTTGACACACAATTGCTCAGTCATTGTTCAAAATTAGCCAAGTGATTATTATGGCATAATGAGTAGCTACTAATTGTTAATGTGGGAATTGCCCTGTCAAAGAGTTCACTATCCACATTAAAGCAACCGAACGTGTGACATTCCACAACCATTCATTACGTGTGTGAGAGAGTGTGTGTGTTTTTCACCAGTCTTGTTGATTACCTCTGCTAATTTCAGGTGCTGTTCTCAGGAACTCGTTAATTAACCTTCCAAAATATTGAAGTAACATTACAGAGATTAGATTAGCATTTTATTGTACTCTATAACAGAGACTTTGAGAATATCTTCTCTACATCACAACACAACACAGAAGCTGTATTAGCGTCAGCACAATTCGCTATATCATTCATGAGAGAAGCAGAGGCTGTTCATATCACATTCATTCTCGATTCTCAACATACAAGGTTAAACAACAATTAGTACAGACTGGCTTTATGTGTCTGGTAGTATGACGAAGTGAAGTCTATCAGTCACAGAGAGCTGATTTGAAGGTTGTCCCAGTGTTTTATGTCATTTCTAAAAGCTGCTGTGTGATTGAATCATATGAAAGCATTTGAATGTACTTTTACATATAGTCGATTTTTTTCATGTAACAGACCAGTGTATACTTGAAATATGAATTTGTTTTTGACATTTGACATTTATTTTCAACCATCCATTGTTCTCTAATTCCATAGTATATTATTAATAGTAAAATAAAAACGATAAAATGTAATTAAATGTTCATTTGTAAAGAAATGTAAAACCCGTTTATCTCAGTGGTTTAAGTTTTTTATTTTTTCCTCATCTACCAATCTTGTGATAGATAGATAGATAGACAGACAGACAGACAGACAGACAGATAGATAGATAGATAGATAGATTAGGTTATTATGTATGGTGATTCATTAAAGTATATGACATTCTAACACTCTTCAGTTATTTAATCATATCTAGCAAATTATATATATATATATATATATATATATATATAATTGCAATTAATTGAAAAGGAGGTCATGCAGCCCCAGACAGACAGATTAGAAAATAAAATGTATTATGTGTTGTTCCAAAGATGCGTTGTAACTTTTGTTTGTGGTGCCTTAATCTGATGTAGTATTCCTCATTTCTCAAGTGCCTCTGTGCTGATGAGCTCCTCCAGTCTTGAACATTGTCTCTGGGTCAGTCACTGGCTGCTTTAGGTGATTCTTTCTAAAAACGAGCTCCTTTCACAAGAATTAGAAACAGAATGTTTGGCCAGAGCTTTGTGAAGCTCTTTGATAAATCTGCATTTAAGCACCATTCAAAAACCCACCGCTCTAGTCTTCAGCATACAATGGAAAGCTTTCACAACTGCTTTCTGAAGAAGCCACTGATGATCCAGGACTGACAGAATCAGAGGCAAAGCCACTCCTGACTGTTGACTATAATGTTTGATAAGAAAGTGTTCTATCTGTGACCTACATCTAGAGTTTGGTCCACTGTGAACTTGTAATAATGTGGGGACACTTTTGTCCTGACATGCTGTATTTGCTGTTACTCCTTACCTGGTGTGCTAGTGAATTGTGCCTCTCTCTCTGTGTGTGTGTGTGTGTGCTGCTAATGCTTTTCCAAAACCACATAACATGGCCCTGTTTACCTGATCTGTCGTCGCCTGCTCCAGTTTGCATAGTTGGCCTGCTACGATCAGGCCCGCTACGATCAGGCCCCTTTGTCTGATTTTGTGCGTGTATCACAATGTCCAATGGTCTAGTCTTGTAATTGCATTATTTGATCTCTTTGTACAAATTCAACGACTAAGCTGATAATAAAAGTGTGTGATTTACCACAAGACCATGCATATGCTGTTCTTTTGTTATCAGGATATGTACAATGTTCTCATCTGAATTACTCCCCTTTAATGTCACAAGCTTCTTGATTGCTGTGACGTCCTCCTTCAGGGAAGAAAGCAGATGAGGCTCTTCCAGCAGAGATGAGCTCATTTCAACCGCAGCAGGACATGAACTCATCCACTGATTTAAGTTCCTTAGGTACAACTTAATATGCACTTCCTTATTTAACAGCTAACAAACTGTTACAACGTTTGCGATAGATAGATAGATAGATATAGATATAGAAGTCTTTTTAGATGATATAATCTTTTAAGATGTTCACCACTTGTTTTGACCCTTAGAGGGTGCCAATGTACCACAGTTATAACTACAATAGTTCCTCTCTCTCCCTCTCCCTCTTTCTATGTATCTGTGTTTCTGTCTTTCCTTAATATTATGACTATTGTTGAAAATGCTTCAACATAAAATGATCACATTTGTTGTGTTCTTCAGGCAAAAAACTTTATTGAGCACGTGCTGAAAATTGCCTTCACTTCCCTTACGAAAAAGAAGTTTATTCAAGTGTGCTATTAGTATACTTCTTTTAAACTAAAAATAGGAAAGTATACTTTTAGTCTACTTTTTATGTACTTCTCAGAAATGGGCTTTATGTTATTATACAGTATTATATTATACAGTCTATGATTCTAACACGATCATCAGACATAAAACAGCATCAAAACTATGTAACATTATGGAATAAAATGTCGACCAATAAAGAGGTAATAATAACTGTCAAGCTTTGGGGTGTTGATCGACTTTATCTACGTTTTGATTATCATTCTGAATCCAATTCATAGTCTTTTTCAGCTTTTTGTTCAAAATGTTTATTTCTTTATTTTTTTTTTATGAAACGTATCCACATTCAAGTGTTTAAAAAAAGAATGCATGAAGCTAGAATAAAATGTTTTTTGTTTACAAGCAGATGCCCTGTTCTTTTGATGTTTTGTATGTTCAGATATTCATGTAACAAAATATATACAAATTAATACCTAAATAGGGACATAATAGTATACTTAAAGTATGATGTAAAGTTCACTTAAAGAAAACTTACGAGTATACTTGCAGTATAAAACTAGTATAATATAAACTAGCATTATATAAACTAGTAGTTTACTGAGATTATACTTCAAAGTGTACCAAAAATGCTACTACAAGTATTTAATTAGTAAACTATCAGTATACCTATAAGTTCACTTTTAGTATAGTTGCAGTACAAGCTAAAATTATGTAAACCAGTTGTGTACTCAAAGTTTACTACTGTTATACTTAAAGTATACTTAAAAGTATACTTTTATATACTAGAAAGTGGGCCAATTTAGTCCCAAGGAGTATTGAAATAGTACACTTACAAGTATACTACTAGTACACTGATATTTGTATACTTACTACATAAAGTATACTTAAAAATATACTTGAACTTTACTTAAGTATACTTACTAAAATAAACTTGAAGTATACTACTTTTTGGTAAGGGTTAAGTTGAGTGTGTCTCGTTACGGCAAGGAAATGCAGATTATGAATGGACATATTAATAGAAAATCTAACACTATTTGCTCTATGAAAACACTGAGAAGCGAGAAATTAGGAAATGAGACGTTCACCTCGTCAATCTGCCAAATGTTATCGCTTCGTCGTCACTCTCTACAATGTCTCTCACCATCCCAGCTAAAAAAGTTCAAAAGAAGCATCAGTGTTGTATAGAGATAAGGGATGCTGGGATATCATATCGCCTAATGATACTTTGAAGTTGTGAATGCTGAAAATGGGCTGAAATGCAGAGGGGGGAAACATGAATATATTTGTGCGATAAACTCTGGATAAGACTCTCCTGAGAAGAACAGAAGCTGCAACACCAAACATCATCAAACGGGGGAGAGCAAATCCCACATAAAAGGAGTAAGAAAATATTCCCGAAGACACAATTTAGAGATGACCAGGGGTCCTTATAAGAATTTAGCGTTCATGCTAAACTGTTCTGTGTCACTGTATTAAGGAATAAGTTACGAGGCGCTGTATAATTTCCTCAGAGAAAAGCCTGCAACCCCTTAAGCTGTGTAATTGTGTGTCTATTCAGGATTGTGGGAAATTATAAGCAAAGGATACATCCATGCTTTCAAAAATGACCAGACGAAGACATCTTATTTTGAAAGGATGTTATACAAAAACACGAGCATCAGTGAAGCATTTTCAGGCTTGCAGCCTATATCTCATAGATGTATTATAAAATAGATAGTTCTGACTTCTGATTGGATGGGCAACGTTCTGTGACCGACTTTGTATAAACTGATGTACTGCAAAGCCTACTGTTCAGCTAATTAATTATTTGTTGGTGGAAGAACAATTTTATTATTATTATTATTATTATTATTAATGATGAATGCAACTTTATTGAAGATTGGTTCTTCTATATGGGTCTCTCTTTTTTTTAAATTTTATTATGATTTAACCCCTGTTATGGGTTAATCACTATTAATTGCACAAAGTTTATTTTTCTTCTCATGTTTCATATTAATTTGCATTGTTAATTTCACTGCAGAGCTCATATTGTGAATTAAAGTGAATGCTTGCTTATTTTGATAAATAAACTTTATTTTCTGAAATTAAACAAATTACTCTTGAGAGTTGGTCATAAAATATCAATGAAATGAACTGATGCTGATGCTGAGATGCTGATTTGTTCTTTTGATGTCTTGGAGGGCTTCTAAAGTTTGAAAACCTTAGAATTAGAGTGATCTTCGAAGGTTCATAACAATGGAAACGCTCTGAATTCTGCCACCATCTTTTCAACAGCATTCACAATTTAGTCATGTATTATTTATTTGTTGAATAAGTGGGCAAATGTCGGCCATTCAAGGTCTATTAAAGTTCAATTGTATGTTGAGTGGATTGGTTTTATTTAGGCAGTGAATTTAATTTAGGACTGCGAGAGACCACAAACCAGTGTCTGATTGAACTGAGACTGTTCATTTTTAATGCATCTCATGACCTGATTGACCGGAGAATGAAAAACGTGCCTCCAACATTCAAATTATCTAATAATCTTCTACAAAAGCCTGAGCTGTGCTGTAAAAAGATCTCCCAGCTAGGTGAGTCTCCTTGAGGATGAATCCTCTGTTTGTTTGTTTGCGTGTGTATTCATGTGTGGGTAAGGCCATTTCTTAATTTATGCCAAGTGAATATTCAGAGCCTTAAGAGTGCTGTCTAAATGTCCCACTGCTGAACATTATGCCATTTACCATCTGCTGTTGGATCAAACCATGTGCTGGTTGCTGAGATAAATGGATGATATCACATCTAAATGTTGTGGTTCAATTCATCATTTCAATGGCTCCTGAATTATCCATACATGCCCCGCAACATATATGACACCATCTGTGTATGAATTATTTTCACCGAGTATGGAGTGAAAGAGACCAGAAAAGTCATCTATAATGTGAATGCACCAGTCTGTCCTAATAAATATCTAGTATCATTTCCTTGCCTTTCCTTCACACAGCCTGACACAGTTTTCATTCGTTCAAGCGGTATGATCGAACATATGTCATAAATCCAATCCAACTTTAAACTAAAAAGTCTCAAAGAGGCATTTGTTAGACTTCAAATCCTCATTCAGCTCCATTTTCTTGTCCATCTATGCTTGTGCAATTTTTGTTCTGAAATGTAACGGATATTTTAGGGCTTTGTGAGTAACAGGGCTTAGTATTAGTCAATCAATCAATGTTTTTGACCCATAGATATGGTGTAAAAGCCACAACATTTTGAAATTGACTGAAATTTGGATTTAATTTAATCTTTACAGTAAAATGCAGGAAATCATGTACGTACATACTGCATATACATAAATAATTTTCAGCAAACCACCTGTTTGCCATACTATATTAAATAAATAAATAGGGATTTTTCAATTAAACACCATTTCACCATAATTAATTAATTAATTAAATAATTAACTAAATAAATAGTATGGCAAATAGGTAGTTCATTGAAAAATCCCTGGTTTGGAGAACACGGTTCATGGTTGGATACTGTACAGTCCATTCCGCTGGAGATGCGCTGCAGGCATGCTTTAAGTCACATTATTGTTGGGCTAATGAAGTCTATTCAAATTTGGTGTCTCCAGAGTGATTCTGAATGAAAGAGGCAAATAAAGGAGGTCAAATGTGACCTGCTAATAATTTGGCCCATAATGAGAATGTGAGGTCTATAATAAAGAAAACAGAAGCTCAGGCACTGCACGAACCCACTGGGGAAAGGGTCAGCAGTGTCACAGACAAACTGAGGTGCTGCTTTAGAATAAAGTGTGTCAAAAGCAGCAGCACTTTCTCTTAAATAATGACTTTTGTGTTATCATATTAACCAGACGACTCTTAGACAACATTAATTCATAATGTTCTGTCATTGTTTTTCCCACTGTTTTCTAGTTTTATTTAAATTATTGTTCTGGGTCATTTACAAATTAAATGCGCTATAACTTCTTGATTTGAACGTGTCCACAAGTTAAAACTGGGGCAGCCATTCATTGTGTGTCCGTTACACATATGTTTGAGCAAGTCTTAAGCGGCTCACTGACCGATGAGAGCCGTGAGTGGGAGTTTAGAAGTGACAAGACAGATAGAGATGTGTGAAGGCAGCACCAGTGAGGAGTTAATCACAAGCACAGTGTGAGGGCAGACAGCTGAACATTGGCCAGCGGCTGCAGGGGGGATCCTCACTTCTTCCCTGGACTTGCTATCCTGAGTCTGCAACTATATGAATAGAGATGTTGCCAGAATCTGTCAGACCAGCAGGCCATTAGCGACCTGACCATAGACACAAGAAATCAAGTTCACATGCAAACACTGAATGCAAAGACACAGATCAAATCATATTTATAATCTACATGAGAAAACAATTAAAGGGTTAGTTCACCCAAAAATGAAAATTAGCCCATGTTTTACTCACCCTCAAAG